GCCCCCCTCCCCCCCCCCCGCAACCTCTGGCTGGATCCCCCGGCCCGAGCCCCAGTCCCCCCACCTCCTGCCAGATCTCCTTGGCACGAGCGCCAGCCTCCCCCGGCTGGATCGGGTCCCCCCCGGCTGGAATCCCTGGCACAAGCGCCAGCCCCACCCCCCCAGCCGGATCAGGCACTCCCAGCATAAGCGCCAGGCCCCCCATCCCCAGCCAGGTCCCCCCCGGCACAAGCCCCAGCCTCCCCGGGCCGGATCAGGTCCCCCTGGCTGGAATCCCCTGGCACGAGTGCCAGCCCCCCTCCGCAGCCAGATCGGGGCTCCCCACTCCCCTCCGGGGCTGGAGCACCAGGATCAGCCCCCCACTCTCCCCGGGGCTGGAGCGCCGGGACCCCCACCCCGTGACTCACGCCCGGCTGCCCGCAGCTGGCAGTCTGGGGCGACATGCAGGTCTGGCGCCAGGCGGCCACCCAGGTCTTCTTCTCGCTGGGGCTGGGCTTCGGGAGCGTCATCGCCTACTCCAGCTACAACCCACGGCACAACGACTGCCACGCCGACGGGCTGCTGGTGGCCGGCATCAACTTCCTCACCTCGCTGCTGGCCACGCTGGTCGTCTTCGCCGTGCTGGGCTTCCGGGCCACCGCCATCGCCAGGGCCTGCGTGGCAAGGTGAGCCGTCCCCCGTCTCCCGCGCCCATCTCCCCTCTCCTGCGCCCGGCACACGCTGACCCGGCCTCTCCCCTCCGTCCGTCCCCAGGAATGTGGAGATGCTGGCCCAGCTGCTGGGGACCGGGGCTCTGCCCACCCTGGAGCTGCCCACCCTGGACCCGGCGGCACTGTCCCCACCGCAGTACAGCACCTGGTACCACAGGCTGCCTGCCGAGCTGGGCACCGCACTGCAGGGACACGGTGTCACCGACTGCCGGCTGGAGGACGAGATGAACAAGGTGCCCAGGGATGGGGGAGGGTCCCCATGTGCCCCGCGCCCCGACCCGGGAGAGGGCCCCGTGTACCCAGCCCCGGTGCCCCGACCTGGGATTTCAAGAAGGCAGACTGTAGCAAACTCAGGGAGTTGGTAGGTAAAATCCCAATGGAAGCAAGTTGAAGGGGAAAAACAATTGAAGACAGTTGGCAGTTTTTCCAGGAGACGTTATTAAGGGCACAAGAGCAAACTATCCCCCTGCGTCGGAAAGACAGGAAGTCTGGCGAGAGACCACCCCGGCTTAACCAGGAGATTGTCCATGATCTAAAACTCAAAAAAGAGTCCTACAAAAAGTGGAAACTCGGTCAAATTACAAAGGATGAATATAAACAAATAAGTGTGTCGGGACAAAATTCGAAAGGCCGAGGCACAAACCGAGATCAGACTAGCTAGAGACATAAAGGGTAACGAGAACATTTTACAAATACATTGGAAGCAAGAGGAAGCCCAAGGACAGGGTAGGCCCGTTACTCAACGAGGGGTGAAAGACGATAACCGAAAACGTGGAAATGGCAGAGGTGCTTAATGACTTCTATGTTTCGGTTTTCACTAAGAAGGTTGGTGGCGATTGGACGTCTAACGTAGCGCATGAGGTAGGATCAGACTCTAAAATAGGGAAAGAACAAGTCAAAAATGACTCAGGGCATGGCTATACTTGCAGATGTCGAGCGCTTTGAGTTAAACCCGCCTTCGTAGAGCGCAGTAGGGAAAGCGCTGCAGTCTGTCCACACTGACAGCTGCAAGCGCGCTGGCGTGGCCACGTTGGCGGCACTTGCAGCGGCGTTGGGAGCGGTGCATTATGGGTAGCTATCCCAGCATGCAAGTGACTGCAATGTGCTTTTCAAATGGGGTGGGGGTGGGGTGGAGTGTGACAGGGAGTGTGTTGTGTGTATGTGGGGGGAGAGAGAGTGGGTTTTGGGGATGCTGAGTGTGTGTTGTAAGTTCAGATGCCCCTCACCTCCCCCCCCCCCCCCGCCTCTCTTTCACTCACTCAAAGCAAACCGGAAACGGTTGCTTTTTCTCGGGGCTGATAAGCAGCCGGCTTCTCCGAAACGGCGCTTTGAAAGGGCATTTCCGCATTCCTGCAGCCCATTTCACAACAATGACACGAGTGGCCACTTGACTTAAGGGGATTATGGGACGTTTCCAGAGGCCGATCACAGCGCAGTAATGCAACACCCCTTTCACACTGGCACTGCGGCGCTCCAGCGGGGGGCGCAGCAAACGTTATTCCACTCGCCCAGGTGGAGTACCAGCAGCGCTGTAGCCGCAGAGTCAGAGCGCTCTACGTGCCTTGCCAGCGTGGCTGGGGAGAGCGCTAGGGCGCCCGGGGCTGCTTTATTGCGCTGTAACTCGCAAGTGCAGCCAAGTTAGATGTCTTCAAATCACCAGGCCTGGTGAAATGCATCCTAGAATACTCAGGGAACTGACTGAGGAGATATCGGAGCGATTATCTCTGAGAAGTCATGGAAGACGGGAGACATTCCAGAAGACTGGAAAAGGGCAAATCTAGTGCCCATCTATAAAAAGGGGTATAAGGACAGTCCGGGGAATTACAGACCAGTCAGCTTAACTTCTGTCCCTGGAAAGACAATAGAGCAAATAATTAAGCAATCCATTTGCAAACACCTAGAAGATAATGAGGTGATAAGTAACAGTCAGCATGGATTTGTCAAGAACAAATCGTGTCAAACCACCATGATCGCTTTCTTTGACAGGGTAGGGGGAAGCGGTAGACGTGGTAAATCTTGACTTTAGTAAGGCTTTTGATACTGTCTCACGTGACCTTCTCATAAACAAACTAGGGAAATACAACCTAGATGGACCCACTATCAAGTGGGTGCAAAACTGATTGGAAAATCATTCCCAGAGGATGGTTATCAGGTTCACAGTCCTGCTGGAAGGTCGTAACAAGTGGGGTCCCGCAGGGATCGGTTCTGGGTCTGGTTCTGTTCAATATCTTCAGCAATGATTTAGATAATGGCACAGAGAGGACACTGGTAAAGTTTGCGGACGATATCAAGTGCTTAAAATTCAAAATGATCTGAACGAACTGGAGAAATGGTCTGAAGTAAATAGGATGAAATTCAATCAGGACAAATGCAAAGTACCCCACTTCGGAAGCAACAATCAGTCGCACACACACAATGGGAAGTGATGGCCTAGGAAGGAGTCCTGCGGAAAGGGATCTGGGGGTCATCCTGGATCACAAGCTAAATAGGAGTCAACAGGGTAACGCGCAAAAAACCGAACATCATTCTGGGGTGAATCAGAGGAGTGTGGTAAGCCAGAGACGAGAAGTAATTCTGCTCCGCGCTGATTAGCCTCAGCTGGAGTATTGTGTCCGCTTCTGGGCGCCATATTTCAGGAAAGATGTGGAGAAACTGGAGAAAGTCCAGAGAAGAGCAACAAAAATGATGAACATGAGCTATGGGGGAAGATTGCAAAAACGGGGTTCATTTAGTGTGGAGAAGAGAAGCCGGAGAGGGGACGGGAGAACAGTTTGCAAGTGCAGAAAAGGTTGTTACAAGGAGGAGGGAGAAAATTGTTCTCGTTAACCTCTGAGGATCGGACAAGAAGCAATGGGCTTAAATTGCAGCCAGGCCGGTTTAGGTTGGACATGAGGGAAAACGTCCTGACTGTCGGTGGTGAAGCGCTGGAATAAATCGCCGAGGGAGGTGGTGAAATCCCCGCTGTTGGGGATTGTTAAGAGCAGGTTGGACAAACCCTTGTCAGCGACGGTCTAGATAATATTTAGTCCTGCCGTGAGTGCAGGGGACTGGACTAGACGACCTCTCAAGGTCCCTTCCAGTCCTACGATTCTATATACCCAGCCCCATGCCCCACCCCATGGGGGCCACATCCCTGCACCGGGTGAGGGGTCCCCGTGCACCCCGACCCAGGGGGGGCCCATATACCCAGCTCTGGCACCCCACCCCAGAGGAGCTGCGTCGTAGCAGCGGGCGAGGGGTTCCCGTGTAGCCACTGCCTGACCCAGTCTCCATCTCTCCCCCGCAGGGCGTGGAGGGCACCGGCCTGGCCTTCATCACCTTCACGGAGGCCATGACCCTGTTCCCGGCTTCCCCGTTCTGGTCCGTCCTCTTCTTCCTCATGCTGCTGAACCTGGGATTGAGCACCATGCTGGGCAACATGCAGGGCATCCTCACCCCCCTGCTGGACCGCTACCCCCCCCTGCAGCGCCGCGCCACCGTCTTCACCGGTACGGCGGGGGCGGGGCCCGGCGAGGGGATCCCGGGGGGACCTGCATGACTGCGCACAGGGGGGAAGATTTCTGGGGTGCCAGGCTCTGCCCCCCCAGTGCTGCAGGAGGGACGTGGGGGTCCCAGACTGTCTCTGCCCTAGAGCTGCTAGGGGTCCGGTGTTTACTGCCGATTGGGGCGTTCATAATCCGGGCAGCGGGGCTAAGACTCGCTCCCTGCGGCACCTGGAAGCAGCCACCAGGTCCCTGCAGCCCCAAGGCGCCCGGGCGGCCAGGGAGGCTCCGCATGCGGCCCCCATCCCCAGTGCCGGCTCCGCAGCTCCCATTGGCCGGGAATCGCGACAGGAACAGGGAGCTACAGGAGTGACGCCTGTGGGCACGGGGGCAGCACAAGGAGCCTCCCTGGCCGCCCGAGTGCCCAGGGGCTGCAGGGACCTGATGGCCGCTTCTGGGAGCCGTGGTAAGTGCTGACGGGACCCCAACCCCCTGCCCCATCCTGGAGCCTACAGCCCCTCCTGCACCCCAACCCCCATCCCAGCCCGGAGCCCCCTCCTGCACCCCAAACCCCTCATCTCTGGCCCCATCCCAGAGCCAACATCCCCAGCCAGAGCCCTCACCCCAACCTCCTGCCCCAGCCCAGAGCCCCCTCCTGGAGTCCGCATCCCCTCCCTCACTCCAACCCCTGCCCCAGCCCGGAGCCTCCTCCTTCACCCCAAACCCTGTGACGGGTTCGGTCACAGAGACCCCCTTGGGACTGTCACCTGACGTGCTGAAGTTACCTCTGAGCCCGTATTCCCTGCCAGCTTGGGACTTCAGAACCCTGCCTGGTTGAGCCAGACACGCCAGCCTGCTGCAACCCAGAGCCAGGGTCTGAACCACGTTCCCAAAGCTGCAGACTTAACCGAAAACAGCTTAGCGGGTTACCTATCTCCAGCCCCCAGACACCCAGCTCCCAATGGGGTCCAAACCCCAAATAAACCAGTTTACTCTGTATAAAATTTATACAGGGTAAACTCCTAAATTGTCCGCCCTCTATAACACTGATATGCACAGCTGTTTGCTCCCCCAGGTATTAATCACTTACTCTGGGTCAATTAATAAACACAAGTGATTTTATGAAGTATGAAAAGTAGGTTTTAAGTGTTTCCAATTAATAACAGCCAGAACAAAGTAAGTTACCCAGCAAAATAAAACAAAACACGCAAGTCTAAGTCTAATACATTAAGAAACTGAATACAGATAAAATCTCCCCCTCAGAGATGTTCCAATAGCTTCTTTCACAGACTAGACTCCTTCCTAGTCTGGGCCCATCCCTTCCCCGGGTACAGCCCTTGTTAGTTCCAGCCGGCATCTTAGGTGGTAACTAGGGGATTCCACATGACTGGCCCCCTTTGTTTTGTTCCATTCCCTTTCATAGCTTTGGCACAAGGCGGGAATCCTTTGTCTCTCTGGGTCCCCACCCCCAGGGCCGGCTCCAGGCACCAGCTTGGCAAGCAGGTGCTTGGGGCGGCCACTCCAGAGAGGGGCGGCAGGTCCAGCTATTCGGCGGACGGCCCCTTACTCCCACTCGGAGCAAAGGACCTTCCGCCGAATTGCCGCCGCAGGTCACGATCGCGGCTTTTTTGGTTTTTTTTGGCTGCTTCGGGCAGCCAAAACCCTGGAGCTGGCCCTGCCCACCCTTCCTTCTCAATGGAAAAGCACCAGGTTAAAGATGGATTCTACTATTAGGTGACATGATCGCATGTCCTGTGAGACGTCATTCTACATTCCCCACGGGCTGGTCTACACCTACACAGGCCGGTAAACCGAGCCAGACACAGTCAATTGTCCTGGGTAATGGGAGCCATCAAGATTCCAAACCACCATTAATGGCCCACACTTTGCATAATGACAGCAGGTCCTCGGCGTTATACTTCATATTTCTAGCTTCAGATACAAGAATGTTACATTCATACAAATAGGAGGAAGATATTCAGTAGATTATAACCTTTGTAATGATCCCTTACAAGAGACCTTTTGCATTAAGCATATTCCAGTTATGTCATATTTACAAGCCCCCCCTCCCGGAGCCCACACCCCCTCCTGTACCCCCAGCCCGGAGCCGCCTCCTTCACCCCAAACCCTTCATCTCCAGCCCCACCCCAGAGCCAACACCCCCAGCCAGAGCCCTCCCCACTCTCCTGCCGCAGGTACGTGGGGGTCCCAGGCTCTCTTTCCCCCCCAGTGCTGTGCTGTGGGGGGACATGGGGGTCCCAGGCTCTCTTCCCCCCCCCAGTGCTCGTGCTGTGGGGGGACGTAGGGGTCCCAGGCTCTTTCCCCCCCCAGTGCTGTGCTGTGGGGGGACGTAGGGGTCCCAGGCTCTT